CATATTTAATTTTTATATGATATTAAAACCCAAATTCTATCTTAAAAAACTCATTGTTAGTTCCCTTGATAAGAGTTGGAGTTAACACCAAAGCTGAAGTGTATTAATTCACCTAATAACCTGCATATGAGGCTGTGTGTCCAATTGGTTTTAGGTTAGTAAGCTTTATGTTAAAACTTACATACTCAATTTTCATATAATATTAGAGTTTATATTTTATTCTTAAAATGCTTTTAGATTAGTAAGTTTTATATTAAAACTTACATACTCAATTTTTATATAATATCAAAGTTTATACTCTATTATTAAAATGTTTGTTGTTAACCTACCAAACAGAACTCAAAATTCATGTCGAAACTTTTATATAAAAAAGTGTATTAAATAATGTGACAAGACTTAATACTCATAGTGATTTCATACATAAGATAGTGTGTGAAATAAAAAAATTTTATATTAATAATATAACTAAAAAAACTTATGAATTAAATAAAAAGAGTTATTTTATTTATTATTAATTAATTTTGAGTTAAATATAAATTTTATATTAAAATTTGCGTCCTTAATTTTCACAACGCAAAGCAATTAGCCAATTACTACTCTTCAGCTTCGTTAACCGCTGTTTGGGATATGACGTGGTCAACTGTCGTTCCTCTCTTTAATTTCCCTTCCACTCAGTTTCCTTTCCTCTCATGCTGCTGCTGGACATACTTTAAAAGATATTATTTTTTATTTTATATAACTCAGCATATAAAAAATATTTTTTCGTTTGCGGCTGTGTGGACGCTCTGTTGGTTCCTTCTTTTCCCTACTTTTTTTAATCTCAATCTCTCTTTTCCACGAAATGCAACCATGAAAATGAAGACCGAAACATCGTTGCAGTTGCAAATTCATTTCTAAGCGAAGCAATTAACGTTAAAAACAGGATGACCAAGCATAAGCTTCCAAGTTAATGTATAAATTTGATGAAGCTATTGTCTCCAAAAAAGGGTAGACATCGAGAAGAAGCCTTCCTAATTTTGTCAATTATGAAAATCTCTTGAAACTTTTGTTCCCGACGAAGCCTATGCAGAGAAAGGAGCATCCCATGATCGGTAGTAGCTATGTTTCTGTATTTTTAATAGTTACTTTTCCTCAATTACGTACATACAATAATGTAATGAATTCCGAATTTATATTATTTTATGATTGTCTTGTGCAGGGGAAGCAGGCATGAAGACGAAGCAACCCGCTGGCAACAGAGTACAACTCAGATTTACAACAGGTACTAGAATTACGACAACATTTCTTTCTAATCAATTCATGTTAAGAAGCTAATTATGTATGTTTTTATTAAAATTACGATAATTAATGGAAGAATTGAACTCCTAAGAGATAAAACTAATAAATACTTTTTCCATAGAAAGAAATAGTTTC